CTCTTCCTTCCACAAAAGTGAAAAGAAATTCACCATTTTTCAAACCAAATTCACCCTTTTTCGAAGCAAATTCACCCTCACTTTTCACATCAGCATAAGAACCACACTTATTCAGGGCGGGCAACTCATCAACCAGATCACGCCAGACATCACTGCGAGCCCCGCCCCGACGGCCACGCCCACTTGTCAGCGCGGACATAGATTCTCAAATCTTGTTTCATAACTTCTGCTTTTGCTGTTTCCCACAAACACTTTGACTGGAAACGACCGGGCATTGACACATGGCCGACTCCGCCCATTCTCTAAAGGGTTTGGCAATCTAGGCTGACCACGCCCACTTGCTTTTCGCGGACTTTCGATTTTTTTTCAAAATTTTTGCATTTTAGGGCTGCTGCGTGAAGCCCCGCCCACTGTGGAGAGGCTCCATAGACTTTTCAAAAATGGTTCAGGTCGGCAGTATAGAGCCCTTGCTTGCATGCTAGGTATTGCGAGCATCCGAATAAAAGTTTGCCGGATTATTCTATGTCCGCTGATGAAGAGCTCGCACTGATGCCGGCGTTGATGCTGCGCTGGATGAAGTTGCCGCCTTAATGGGGAAGTGGTTATTTGATTGTGAAAAGTAGGGCGAATTAGCGTTTTGGAAAAAGACGTGTAATGCCTTGAAAAAGGCCGGATGTGCCTCTGAAAAAGGATCCATGATTTAGGTGAAAATGGTATATAAACCGATTGGAAACTAAAAAAATTGTGCAGCAACTGGAATCCCGTCGCATCTAGATTGCCGCAATCTTTCGCCGCCATTAGAAACTTTTAAGTTGTCTTGGTGCTGCCGTCGGTATAATCCGCTGTTCGTTTTCGGGCCTGGGACTGCAAACTAAATTCAGTCAAACGGAACCACGAGCGCAGACGTTGCACACTCTTCGCTCGATTGACTTGTCGTGGAATGTAGGCTCATACAAGTTTGGATAACTGTCCGGACCATCCCGATACTTATTTATCATTTATTCTGCCGCCGGCGACCCCCGCCCCGGCACGGTCAGTCAACTGGTAGCGAGTGCGGTAAGTAAAACATGGCAATATTGACTAAGAGAAAAAAAATGAAATAAAATAGTATAACACAACTTAAACAGAGGCTGCAACAGAGAAAACTAGGAAACTTAGGAAACAAAGGTCCGATAGCACTGAACTAGTTAACCGCGGAAGGACAGATCTGAACCTATCTGATCTGAACTACAAGGTTTTCGTAACTGATGACGAAGGTAAAGCCGTGACGGCACATTTCGGCTACGAGGAGGGGGGACTTTGCACTTTCGCTGCTTCACTAGTTCCGGTTTACAAGTCTCACTCTGGTGAAACCTGTGAACTCTTGTGAAGCTGGAGCAAGCTCGTCGAGCTACTTGCTAAAAGGTGTCAACCCGAGAAAAGACTCTCCTCCACTCTAGCCGTGACTATTGGCTTCGGGGCTCACTGGCTCATTTCTCATCTAGTCATCTTCTGATAATCACCTTGAAAAATGTACTATTTTGAAGGCACGGTACGCGTTTACTTACAGGAGTGTGAAAGAGGGGGAGGTACTCTGGTTCACCATGGACAACCTCGTACCAGCTTCGCGGCGAAAAATGGCAAGGTAAGGGTGCTAAGGCGCGATGTTGCTCCAGTGAAGCCTCCTTCTTGCCAATTACTCCGCTTCCAGACTCCGTTATGCGGACACCACCTGGACGAAGGCGTTCTGCTATTCTTCCGATTCGGCAAGGTTGAATGGGTCCCATTAGGGCGTTTCCCACGTTCACTTTAGCCTTTTTGACTTCACTGACAAAACCCTTTGCACCTCCTGCCTTCTCTTCATTTCAACACCATTATGGCGCTCCCAAATGCGAGCCCTACATTTGTTTTGGACGAGTTGCCGTTCCCAGAAGACGGTTGACGTTCCTTGGAAGGTCAGGGGCAGAATTTTCGTGTCAAACGACATTCACCCATCTAGGAGTAGTTGCTCCAGCTAACAGGAGTTTACTATTGGTTTAGCCCTCGTGTTCACCAGCTGTCCACGGGCTGCTTCTCATTGGGATCATCATCGTAACAAGCGAGATTTCGCACGCTATTTCCAGCGACCTTGTTTAGGGTGATGAAGGGATCCAATTTACGTGCACGAAGCTCTTAGGACATAGGTGATGAAGGGATCCAATTTACGTGCACAAAGCTCTTAGGAAGACCACAGCTCTTCTGCCAGTATGCAGTTGATTGAACTGTTTGCAGAGCCGCTGGAACCGGTCAACGAGGTTGATTTCAAAATTCTCGAAGAGGCGCAAAACAGAAAAATGGACAGGTGATTGGAGATTGCTTCGTTAAAAACAACTGACAGGAATATTGGAAGTCGGATGCGGTTGGGGAGCATGTGCAATCCGAGCTGTGAAGGTTAGCCAGAAGAAGAGAGGTTGTCCGAAATCGGAAGACTTTGATTCCAGAAAATTCCAGAAAACCCCATGTGACTGGACTGGAATCACAATCTCACATGAACAACTCGAATGGGCGAAACGATTAGCGGCGGAGGCGGATTTAGAGGATAAAATTTGTTTCAAGTACCAGGACTACAGGTAAGAAAGTTCATCTTCTCTGGTATGGGTTGCGAACTGCTATCGTGACGGCGCGGCGTTGCAGGCGATGTCGTGTGCGCGGCATTCGCACCAGAACATGAACTTACGCACATGATAGTGGTACTGTAAGCCGTGCACGATGCCTTTTAAGCCGGTCGTGACTAGGAAATGGCGCGCGACGAGCTTCTCCTTACGCGTCACCGCAACCCGGATGTCAGGGCCTACACACTACTGATTTTGTCGCGATTACGACTCGTGATCACTCATTCCTGCCAGCTTATTTTCAGTCCAACCGGTATGTTGTATGTAGCCACACCTATGCTGGGGATCCTCGGAGTCGACTCTATTTCGAGAGGATGAAGGGGAGATTTTAGAAATTTTTTTGATGCTAATCTTTATGTGTGTTACAGCACAACCTCCCTTACCATCCTATATAAGCGCTGACGATTTGCCGCACTTACATATTGTTAAAGCTGATGCGAGGGTGTATACCTCCATGCCCTCTCGACTAGCGAACACTTGGGAAATTTTGGTAAGGTTGAATGAGGCAACCGTGAACGGCGTCTTAAGAGTTCTTGGCGGGGAAGGGGGAGTGTATTGGGGTGTTGCTCTTTGGTAGTGACTCTCGCCACTACCAGGACGTGCCCTGCCGGAAAGTACACGACCAGATGAAGAATAGTCCGTTCCACAAGTGCGCACGAAATTGATAGCGTTTCTTGCTCGTAACACGCCCCTAGAATAGGGTAAGTCAATGTTATTTATAAGTGTTTCAGTTAAACTAAGTGCGTCAATAGACAAAATCATTTCTGTTGAAATGATCGAGGCAGTAGGACAGTTATTCCTGCCTCAGTACTTCCAAGTGCTATCTGATAGGCTCCTTCCGGGTGGAATCGCTGTTCTGCAGGTATCTTATCAATCTAAATATTCTTGATTGCTGTTCTGAAATTCGTTCAAATTCATCCAAAGTATAGTGTACTTCGCTGCGCGGCGGTTGAGCTGTGTCTGCGGGCACCATCGTTTTTGGGAAATCCTCAATGAGGGGAGTGATTTTGCTCCAGGAGAGGGGGGGGCGCGTAAATTTTTTTTTTGGGGCTGGAGAAATTATTTATAGCTCGATTTCCTCGCGCTTTACGGACGTTAATGGGGGGGCGTACTTACGTTTTTGGCGTTGTAGAAGTGCGTGTGACTTTTGGTATTTTTCTGATTCACTACTACAGCCCCCCCCCAGCCTCGACGGGCTCGATTTCGATGGGCAGAACAGAGGCCGGAGGGGGGGGGTGTGACAGACTTGACCAAAAATCCCCAACCAATTGAGTGCCCTGGTGTCTGGCGGGATGAGGTTGGGGTGGTGCCTAACCCGTTTTATTAAAGTTAGCAAATGATATGACTGGATCAAATGCGCCCGTAGTACTAGTTCGCTACCACTGCCTGTCGCATGCGCGGCTTCAACAGAAAGCAGAGAATCAGCTCCATGTTAACACTCATACTGCCTGACACGCCCAACTGTCCGCAGCGAACTAGAGCGTAACAGTGTCTCTTCCTAATTGGAGGTGTTTGTCACGGCGATGTAGCTGGTACTGAGGTACAGACTAATCAAGGGGGATGATCAGGAATGTGTGTGGAATTAGCAATAGGAGTTAGATATGTTGTTTAACGGAGTAATAACCGAACCAAAACCAAGTGGAAGTGGTGGGAGATCAGTGAGATTGAACCAAAAGTAGTTGGAAGTCACACGGTGGCGTCACTGTACTGCGTCAGCGTCGTTCGGCTTGGAAGGGGCATTTGCACATTAGCCGCTCTGTAGTAGTGCTTAGTGTCAATTTATACGTCTCATCTGACGACTTTTGTCAGGTCCAAATGAAGCTGCGCTATTGTACACGGGTTGTAGGATTCTGCAGGTGTTCACAAGAGACGTCCATGGGAACCAGCAAAATGCCCACACCAAGCCGAATTGCCAAAGTGCCTGCTACGTCATATCTTGACATGTATCGCTGCGTCTTTTCGAAGCTTTAGTATCGGTATCTATGTCACTTCCACATTCGGAAAGAGGGCGCAGACAAGTAGGCATGACGTAGCATGGTGGCAACCCACAGAGTGCCCCTCCCTCTCAAAAGTTGTACAGTGAATAATGTTCGAAGGGTGTATCTGTGGTTGTTTTATGTGGTAGGAGATGTTACCAGTTAGTTATTCTGGTCATTCTTACAAGTACAGCAGAGTGGACTATCATTCATGTACTTAGGAATTAATGGCTGTCTTTTCAGGGAATAATTTGTCCTGATGCCTACTACGACCGATATTGCCGATCATCCGATTTCATCAAAAAGTACATCTTCCCAGGAGGACATATGCCGTCTATAGGTACGATTCTTCCAAGCATCAATTAGTAGTCAAATTTCACCCTCGAAAACTAAACCTCAAGTAAGAGCTTTGAAATTCATATTAATCTAATTGGACTGAATTTTCTACTCATTAATTTCACTGCTTTCTCAAGGAAATTGATATTAAACGCTGCATACATCCCCCTCCTACCCTCCCCCCCCATCCGCCGCTCCACCGTCCGCCCATAAAACAAGCTTATGTTATCGCCTCACTGCTCACCAAATTGTCACTGGCATCCCTTACCTTTGGCTGCCCCCACTCTTGAAAAATCGGGCCATGTTTGGATCGAGCCTTCTCGTCGTTGTAGATCTGGCCAAAAGTTACGCTTTGGGGGTACTTTGTATGCCTGAACTTGAAATTATTCATCTACTCATGTAGCAGACGCATGGCATTCGCGTCACAGCCGCGCTCAAGCTGGCAATTTACCTTGACGAAAGCTCATACGCACAGCTGCATTCACTGGGTAGCCCAGCTTCCTTCTCCCTCTTAGCTTGATGTTACTAATCGCTTCCACGGCAACGCGGATGAGTTATCTAACCTTGGAGATCAACGACCTCAAAGCATGTCCCGCGGACCAGGTGTCGGAGCGTTGAAAATATGGCGTCAGGGAGCGTTTAGAGAATGTCGCCGCGCCGAAACAACCTTGTGCGGTTATCGTGTTGGCACGAAATTCTAAGCAGAGCCGCGCTCGTAGGCTACGCCGCCATATATAGTTTCGGTGTGGATCCCCTCCTTTTTTCCGTGACTTCCGCTCTCCAGACGTCCCGCCTCAATGTCCAGCTTTCAGTGAAAAACGAGATTGGCCCCCCCCCTGGACGGAAAAGGCATGATAAATCGTTCACTCGTATCTTTAGAGCTCTTATCGCTGTGAAATCAGCTCGTGCACGAGCGGCTGTCCAGGGGTCGTGTGGGACGAACTTGAGAGATTACATTCGAGCACGGGTCAAACTGGGATCAATAGGACGGCTCCTCACAATTCTCAATGGCATGCTTTTTGGCTCGCTCTTTCTTCTTCGACCTGTTAGTATGTATTCAAACCACTCTTCTCCCCTTCTATACTGGAACTCCCTAATCACTATCTGAGCGATAAAACGCGAAATAATTCGCGGCTTACTGCCTTTAACGAACCAAAAATTTCAGCTAGGTTGCGGTTTCTGATGCTTGCGAGAAAGGGCTCAAGCCTTCTCGCGGCCAAGCGCAGTGTGATACTTCGTGTTCTAAGGGTTAAGCTACAAGCCAGGACAAATTCTGAAGGGAATCACCACAGCTGTGAATTCCTGTAGTACGTTCTGGTTTAATTTTTGAAGACGGTGAGGCATGGGAGCGTTAAGGACTGACACCCTTTTTGTTTTCAGAATTTTTGTTCGGCACTTATAAAAAATTGGGTTGAATAACATTATTAGAAGTTTCTTTGGATAGCAAAAACCCGCGTTACGTATCTTCTATGCTGACCAGGGCTACTTGAACTCCAATTTTTTTTGAACTCTCCGAACTCGAATGGTGTATACCAGTTGCTATTTTTTTATTTTACAGGTTGCCATAAAAGCTGCCCTCTCCCAGACGATTCTTTGATCCTCGTGCAGGAGATGAAACACATCGGCAGACATTACGCTGCCACGCTCGATCACTGGTATAGGTGAGTTATTGCAGTATGATTCTTCCATTTCGTACCGTTTCATGGTTAGCTCTCCTTTGTTTAGAATTCCTCTTTTAAAATTACGTATTCGACGTATCAAAAGCTACCAGGTCAATTTTGGGATTCGATCTCGCACAGGCTCTGGATCCATTAAAGGACGGGTCCGCAACTACGTATAGTGGGAAGTCCCTTCTCCAACTTCATTGCTTGTGGTGACAGCAGCTGCATCCCACTTCGCCAGGGCAGAACCGAGTGAGTAAGAATGCCTATGCTTATTCTTTTCATTGTCCCTTCACTTCTGTACCTCATAACTGTCGTCTGGTGATCTCTTACAGAACACTGACGAGAGTGAAATTCAAGTTCAAACAATTCGCTACCATCCTGACTGACAGTACAGTATGGTATCCTCTGCTTCATTGTTGAGTTCCCTGGCACCTTTGGCACCCTTTTCTGTCCTGTTACTAAAGAAAAATTCTCTGATCGCGGGCAAGCTTTCAAGTGGGGAAATCTATTCAGAAGCACCACTGCTCACATTGTGCTGAGGCTCATCTTCCTTAGCTGGGCACTCTCGAAGTTGAAGACGCTCCATCGCCAAACAAGACTGATCGAGCCAAGTGCTTTACCACTTCACCCTTCTGGGGCAGTGAAAGGGGATGAACTTGCTTACAGGTGCACTTGACAGTCCCTTTTAGATTTTTCCGTTGCTGTGAAGCTCTAATTCGAGAACCTTCTCATTTTAGGCCCTTACTCAGAACACTTACCATAACACCTTAGAGTCTTAGTTCGCTGTGCGATGATGAGGCGTGTTTCAGTCAGGGCTGAATCAATGCACGCTGCAGGTCGTTCCTTCATCAAATGTTTGAAAGCGGATAAGGAACAACAATTGGGGAAAGCTGACGCATGTCAATTTTGTTGCTTGCTCATTTCAGCAACTGATGGAAACCCACCTGGTAGGCCCTATCATCTACAACGAACAAGTCTGTAGTACGAGTGTCCGAGCTAGTTCTCAGAATTTGAATTTCTGATCAATGCCTGCTGTGACCAGCACAGAAAAGACTAAAGTTCAAGCGTTTGCGTCGATTCTTGGTCAGTGTCCACACCCATTTTGCGAGTGATCGAATTAACTGCTGTTCTTCGGTATTCAGGGTGTGGCGCATTACCCCGTTCACGTGCGCGTCACTATCGTTCCACTGAATTAACTCTATGTCGCCACTACAAACTATCTCGATGCTATAATTAGGGTTACCCTGAAAAGTTCGGGAAGTAAGGGAGCTCGCTGAGAGGGCGTTTTTCTTTGCACAAGGAAACGCAGGGGAGTGCTCTTGCTTCGATAAAGTCAGACTCGCTATGAAGAGTGGTAGACCTGAGGAACGTAACCAGACTAAGCCAGGCTCCACACCTTATTTGCCGACCCTCGACTTCAGTCGCTAGAAAGCTTGAATTGATACTGGTTTCAAGACAAAGCAAATTAAGACAGGGGTTAACAAAAAGCACCATTTTCGGGGGCATGATACTCTTATACCGTCTCCGTAATTCCCTTCCGATCTCCACGTGCAGCACTTGCATCACAAGAAAATCCCGCAGCGAACTTGCACACTTCAACGGCACAGAACCACGAGGCATTAGAGGGCCCATACAAGTGGCGCGCTTGGCCATGGTCAGGCAAGCAGCTGACCGTGGCGGGCGGAGTATAGGGACGGCACTCTGGCATCACTACCCTCCAGTTCCGGCTGTGCACTTTAACCGAACAAAGCGGCACACTTGCGCAGGCGAGAACGAATTCACACACACAGCGGACTGGGCATCCACGGAGATGGCGTGTACATATTTTTCGCTGAAAAGACGTTCACTGGTTGCTCGACCAATTTTGGGACAGGAAATGCGATTACATGGTTATACCAACGTTTTCTCTCTCGAAATCTTTCATATTTTCCTTCCCTAGGTTTTTGGGGTTGGTCATCTAGTTAGCATGTGAAGTTAATAAATAAGAATCAGACAAAATAAAGTCGGAATAAAGTAAAATTTTTTGCCGGATTCACTCGTGCGTGGATGAAAAACGAGAAGAACATCTTGGCGTTGGGCTACTCCGAGTGTTTCCATCGACGATGGCAGTACTACTTCTGTTTGTGCTCAGCATTATTCGCCAATGATCACATCGACACAATTCAATTTACCCTTACAAAAGCCTCATAGCCTCATACTGTAAGCCGGACCATCATCCTCTCGTTGGCTGCTAGCCAAACCTAATAATTATTGCTTTATGATGCTCTTGAGGTTCTCTCGGAAATGTTACCGCCTGTCAATTCGATGAGCTAGATTTATATAAGGCATGAAAGGGCCTATATATTTCAACTTTTAGGATAATTTCCTTTTGAAAACCGTCAAAAAACTATAAACTGTCAAAACCAGTTGTTTTGGATCCTGTAGTGTTTATGTTGTTACTCGTATTCTTTCGTCATTAGTATTTCAGAGGAAAGCGACGAGGTACCAAGGGATGAGCAGGGCGTTCTTCACCAACAGAATGCCCACCCCAGGCGTCTCTGCTTAGAAAGCGACGTGCTTTTAACTAAACACTCGTTGGTGCGCCCGTTCTTTTACAGACAACGACCGCGATCACCTTCCCCAAGTTGCAGGGCTTGCAGGGAACCATTGGATTTTGCGGTGAGTGCAATGCTAACTAAGGAAAAAAGCAAGAAATAAGTTAAATGTGCCCCAAATAACGCCTCCTGTACAGGATTAAAAGCGGAAGAGTTAACCAAAAATTGAGCGAATTCTCTAAATTAAAGGTTCGGTTCAGGCATGGAAGTTGAGAATATGGCATCGGGAGGGTAGTAGTGTGTACGATGACGAACAACCTTGTCCCGATTGCGGCAAAAAATCAAACTGGAGGGGCGCATAGCGAAGTATAGGTTACAAATGAGCCCCCTTTTTCAAAATTGATACGAACATCCGCCTTTCAAGGCCCGCCTTTCAATGAAAGACGAAGCTGCAGGGCTAAAAAGCATGAGAATCGTCACTAGTACGGTCGTAGGCTTCTTATAGGAGAAGCAGCTGTGCGGATCGTGGCGTATTGTTGGAAATGGAGTTAATTGGGCACCTACAAACTAAGATCCAAAGAAGGTCCTATCTAGGGCAGTTGGCATGTTTTCTACTGCTTTATTTCTTGACTATAGAATTACTCAGCACCTTGCCGTCTATATGGAAAAGGCCTAATCCACTATCCGTGATGGCTGGCTGCAATTTGCCTCTAGTTTGGCTGGAAATCCGTCATTGAGGTAGTTCAAATATCTGAACAGAATATGTTTGGCCAAATCGAGATTTACCGTGCACTTACGAATAAACGCGCCCATCAGCATGACTCAATTGGAG